GTTATAACTTGTAGTTATGATGATTAGGATGTATGTGTACATATTGTGTGTGTATCCTAATTATAATATATATCAAATGGCAAAAGTGAGCTTTTTTGTAATAATAAAAATAATTTTATAGTTAAGAGTATATTTGTTGCAAATGAAAGCAGAACTTCTGCACCTTTGTCCTTTCTTTCTTTTCCTTTCTTTTTTCCTTTTGTATTACTTTGTATTAGTTTTTAGGTTCCTTTTGAAAACTTTGAAGAAAAATGTAAACTACAAATTGGAATAGGCATTATGGATCTGTATGGCTACCTCCATTGGGATGGAGGAGACGCTTAAAAATCTGACTCTGTCCACTGATGCCAGACCAGGATAATAAGTGAACCGACTAAGTGTTGTAAAGCTTCAATTTGTCTTTGCCACAAACATGATGGGTTTTACTGTTCTCATATTTATTTCATTATCTGTGGTTTACAACCATCTGTTGGCTGCCTAGAGTCACTTTGAAAGTAGGCAGCCTTAGGAATTGAGCTGATCAGTAAATAAATAAGATGCTGTAATCAAGATTTTCAATAGAAAGCAGTTTGATGAAGCTTCTATTGAATCATCATATTGAAACAGGATTGGAATTTGAAATGAAAAGTTGCTTGAGAGTAGGAAATCTATCAAGTGGTTTCCAAGCACTTTCAAGTCATTCATTCCCCCCTCCACCACCAGTTACTTGTTTCCTTTCTCCTGCTACTAGAGACATCCTTTCTGTGATAACAATTCAAAAACAATTTACCCAAAATAATAAGAAAACTTCAATCTTCAAAAAATTCCTTATGGTGTAAAAACAAAACTAAATATGTAACTAACTTTAAACACTGATACAACACCTTATGCCAACATATAAAGGCAGAATATACCAAATACCACTGCAAGCAAGAGAAAAACCATCTATGCACAAAATCCACCCGCACCTTCTATAACTTTGTAAACACCAAACTTAAAGACACAAAAACCATCCCACCAATAAAAGGACCAAATGGGAAAAACTATAGTGATGAAGTCGTTAAGGCAAACCTCTTCAATACATTATTCAGTTCAGTCTTTGTAAACAGTAATGGCTCATGCCCCACATTTCCCAATCATATTAGAACTATCTGCAATGATATGGACTTTACTGAAGATAATGTAGAAAATGCACTACATCACCTAAAACCATCCTTATCTATTGGCCCCGATGGCTTATGTGCATACCTCTTAAAAAAGCTTTCCATTGTCATAGCAGAACCCCTAAGCATAATATATGAGATATCATTCAGAACCAGCTTCTTACCAAACCTATGGTCTTTAGCAACGGTCATCTCTATCTTCAAAAAAGGTGACCACTGCCTGGTTGAAAACTACAGACCAATCTCATTGTGTTACATGCAAAGTTATGGAATCAATTATTAATCAATGCATTACCTTCCACCTAGAGTCAAACAACCTATTCTCCAGCAAACAATTTGCTGCAATTTGCAACTTCTACGCTGCAAAAACATATGTACTACATTACTTGATCAGGGCAAAGCAATAGATGTAATTTACTTCAAAGACTTCTGCAAAGCCTTTGACTCAGTGGTACATAACAAACTACTATTTTAATAAAATCTTACAGCATTTCCAGATCCCTTCATAAGCAGATTACTGCCTTCCTGTTAAGCAGGCAACAGTTAGTAAAAATAGGAAATGCCTTATCAAACCCTGTACCAGTTAACAGCAGTATCCCTCAAGGGACCGTTCTAGGACCCGCACTCTTTACACTCTATATAAATAACCTTTGTGATCACCTTAAAAGTAATTGCATCCTCTTCACTGATGATGTAAAACTATTCAACACCACCAACAATGCGACCTTGATTATGTGTCTGAATGGTCAAACAGTTGGCAACTCCAAAACTGTCCTACAAGTTGGTAAAAAAAAAAAAATCTATATACCAAATACAAGCTAGATGGATATGACCTTGTTGATGACCCTCACTCTGTCAAGGACCTTGGAATTCTCATATCGAATGAACTAAGCACTAAGAGCTCACTGCAACAACATTGCAAAAAAGGCTTTAAGAGTTGTAAATCTGATCTTACGAAGCTTCTCCTCTGGTGAACTAGGGCATACAAAACCTTTGCTAGACCAATACTTGAATTCAGCTCCACTGTCTGGAATCCTCACTGTATATCAGACATTTATACAATTGAGCGAGTCCAGAAGTATTTTACAAGAAGAGTACTACACTCCTCTGTTCTCAGCAGAATACCCTGCACCACTAGTCTTGAGATTCTAGGCTTAGACAACCTTGAACTATACCAGCTAAGATTGGACTTAAGCATTGTACATAAAATCATATGTTACAATGTCTAACCAGTTAATGAATATTTCAGCTTTAACCATAACAACACAAGAGCACACAACAGATATAAACTAAATATAAACCATTCCAAACTTGATTTCTGCAACAGAGTGGTCAATGTCTGGAACTCACTACCTGATTCTATTGTCACATGCTCAAATTCCCACTCCTTTACTCTCAAACTAACCTCTATCGACCTCAACCCATTCCTAACAGGTCTGTAAGGGGCGTGCATATGTTCACAATCGTGGCTACTGTCCCTGTCCTATTGTTCCCAATTATTAGTTCCTATTTAATGTATTTAAACTTATGTTTACTCTTAATTCTATTATATTGTAAGTGTTTGACAAAATAAATAAATGAAATAAATAAACAACATCAGCACTTCTAGGAGCAAAACTAACATTTCAGGACTCTGAAAATTGACCTTCAGCTCATGATTGGCAGACTCTCTTGAGGTAAACTGGTATGAATATTTGAATCAAACTTTTATATTTTGGACCACTAAGAGCATTAAGTCTTTTGACCAACCTTTGTCAGCCTTTTTAACACAGAGAAATCCTTGAACAAGAACAGATTGTGTAATATTCAAAGGACAGCCAACTATCCCAATGTGTTTTATGCTATATGTAATATATGTATGCCTATTTTTTGTTAGTTGACAATGTTAATTTTGTATGTTAATTTTCCCAAGACTAATTGATATTCATGATTATTAGTATTTTAGCAAGTCACAGCCTGATCCTTAAGTCATATCACCAATGAAGGAATAGCTAAATTTATTTACTAGTTATACTTGCCCTTCTCTCTCCCCCTTACAATTCAACTCAGAACTGCAAAGCTTCACCTTTATAGTGATGGATCAGATCTAATTGGATGAAATCACAAACTCAGATCAGATCATCATCATCATCATCATCATCATCATCACCATCATCATCATCATTGAATCTCTTGGCCAAAAGAATCAGGGCAGATATGTGCAAATATTTTAAAATCTTTGATAAACCAATGCCTTTTTATCAGTTATGTATAAAAAAATTATAAGATTTTTTTTAAAATGCAAGCTATTTAGTAGAAAGAACAAACATAAAATATAAGTAATAATTGTACTTATACCGGTGTATATATTTTTGTTATCCCTGAACTGTCAATAGTAGTATAGTAGCAGATAAAAAAAACATAAAATCATTAATTATCTTTATTCAAAGGTAATAAAGGAAATTGGAAATTTATTTATTATTATTATTATTAAAAGAGTTAATTGAAAGTACTTTAATCAAGGAGTGGCCAATGTTACTATGCAAGTATACTGATATGCAGGAGTATCTCAGTGACAGAGTGTTTAGTTTATATGCAGAATGTATTGGGATAGAATCTGTATTTTAGAACTAATAAAACTTTTACCAGTAGCACTGATCTAATTTATGGTATGTGTTCACATGCATGTGTACATATACTGTCTGTGTATGTGTACATATACAATCTGTCTGTGTATGTATATACAATCAGCATGTCTTGATATCTGCTTGTCATTCAGAGCATGCCAGAGTAATGTTCTGTAAGCTTGCATAGATAAACTCCCTCCCACTCCTCATGACAGACACTATTAATAGTTTCCATCTCATTGACTATGAGCTGGCTGCATCACCATACCTCGGGAATTAATATTAGCTATAACACATACATACTCGAGCCTAGCATAATACCTAATATATAGATGATAAATGACAGCTCAAAGTATGTATGCTAAACCAAGATGTCAGACATTAGACTTAACAGAACACTTATAGGCCAGGTTGATAGATTTTTTTTCTGTAAGATATTTAAGCTTTATTTAGCATTTGTATGATTCAGTAGCATGGGCATGACAGACTGAAACATGTGCAGAGGGAGGGAAAAGGCACAATAACATTCCAAACTTGTCCAATTTATATTAAAACTGATCTTACCAGAAGAAATTGGATACACAAAAAGAAATGGACAATTGGTTTCATATGCATGAACCACATGTTCAGAGTTTTCCAACATAAATACAGCTCCAGAAAAATAAACACATATGGCTGAGACTTCATTTAACTTCTTTATAAATATGAAGTAAATTTTACAAACCAGTTGTAGATTTCTCCAACATGGAGCAAACTCAAACAGAAGTGGACATAATACAAGTTCAGAGCTTCTGCAGCAACTCAGAAACAGAGATCAGTTTCACTTTAGTTCAGCAGGCAAGCAAAATACACTTAGATAACTAAGATTTGTACTGGTGGAAATCTTTTTTTTTTCTACTGATGTTCATTGATCCTAAAATCAGTTGTACACAAATATTTGTATCATGTCACTATTACTTTTGTTATTCAATATTTGCTCTGGAACTTTTGGGGTAGTTTTCACAGTCCCTGAGAATGCTCCATATGTTAGCATTTATTGATATTTTGTACCTTATTCTCCTTAAATTAAATTATTCTAAATTAATTAATTTTAACAGGTGATAATGGAATTCAATAAGAGGAGAGCTTAAAAAAAACAGAAGAATTTCCTGACAGAAGGAGCAAATGGGGAGCAATAACAGAAATTGGCAACAGAGTTGGAGGAAATATTTAAGAGAAACTTCAGCAACAAAATTTCCTGGTAAATCATCAAAGTATACTTGGTTAACCTGAGAAAAGAATAAGAAGAAATAATAAAAATTATTATTTTGGTGCTAGAGTAGCCAAAGCAAGTGTTACTGTATTCCATAATACAACAATAATACCAATTATATACGTATAAGAAGTTAGTAAAGGCTGCAATCCTATAAATATCAAACTATAAGAATATGTTACTTTGTTACACGTAGTTTATCATCAGTACAAGAATCTGCTTCTCCCTCTTTTAAATGTTCTATTAGTTTAATATAAATAGTAGATAGAACCCACTGGATTCAACTGGAATTCCTTCTAAACAGAATGATACTTTAGATTGGTTGAAGTTTTCTGTGAAAGTTACTTTGATTTCTTATTACATTTTCAGGGACTTTAGAATTCCTTTAGTTGTATATCAATATTTTCTTTATTATTACAATACAGTGGAGGATTATGAGGAATTAATTTTCTCTCTTCTGTTCTATTGTACTCCGATTTAAGTACTGTCAATCCTTCCTGATTTGAAAAAGACCTAAATAGTCTTGCTGGACTTCTTTAGTATTGAAGGAAACCAAATACAGTGAAAACTCTAGGAAAAAAGAGTCATACAAAGTTATGCAATCATACATGTTTCTTGGCCATCCGATAACCTTCAAATTAAATTCATGAAAAAGGCCCTTTGGGGAAAAAATAAAATCAACATTTTTCCATTAAATTGGAAGGCAGAAAATCACAAAGTTCAGATGATAGGTTTGTTACAAGTCAGTCATTTTGATCTTTCATCTAAATGTATGAAACAAAGGGGAGTTTGCTCAAACTAATATGCTACACGATGTCTGCAGTGACAACTAAATTATAACATGGTTACAAATATATGAAACCAATTGCATGTAATGGACTGTGTGAATGACTTTAGGGAAACAAGATGCTGCTTAGGAAACAATCAGACAGGAGAGGCAGTGGCCCCCAGTGAAATAAACTTAGGAAGGTCTTGTCTTAATAGATCAAGCAGTTAAAAATGGTGATGGGAAGTTTGCACTTTCAAATTTGTGAGATTGTGCTAATGTAGTCTTACAATAAAGCAGTCGTGTTTATCCATCTAGTCCATCTAGAGGGATCTAGTCCATCTAGTCATGTTTCCTGTCTGGCTTACAAAAAGAGGACTCATTAAAAAAAGGATACTTTAAAAAAAATCTCTGTCACATAAGCCTTCAATGAAATATAAACTAAATGACTTTTGAGTCTATACATCTGTCAGATTCTATTTCACCAAACAAAATATAACAGTGTCCACATTAATTATATATCATGTGTATAATGTCTAGATTTTTTTTATTTCACCCACATGTCTGAAAATAAGTTCCTTTTTTTTTTACAAAATAAATAATTTACTATTTCTAATTGTTAATTGTTTGAAATAGATGCGGGCCATTATGGTTCATTACCATTTAATGTTTTATCGAGTCATACATATTTAACTCTTTTTATCTAGCCTCACAAATACATTTATCTCTCAGAGCTCTTTTCACAACTACTTCTGCTTACGAAATTCTCAGATAGGATGAAACATAAGGACTTAAGAGCAAGAGTATGTTTTCTTTCTCCAGAGATATCTCTTTAAGCATTACAGTGTGTGGTGGCTCTTGATGCACTGACTCCAGCCTCAGTCCACTCTTTGTGAAAGTCCCCAACACATTTGAATGGCATTTTCCTGAAAATCCTCTCCAGGCTGCAGTCATTCCTGCTGCTTGTGCACCTTTTTCTTCCACACTTTTCCCCTCCACATAACTTTCTATTAATGTGCTTTGATACAGCACTTTGGGAACATCCAACTTCATTTGCAATTACCTTTTGAGGCTTTCCCTCCTTATGGAGGGTGTCTATGATGGATTTCTGCACAACTGTCAGGTCAGCAGTCTTTCCCATGATCATGATTCCTACTGAACCAGACTGAGAGACCTTTTAAAGGTGCAGGAACCCTTTGCAGGTGTTATGGCTTAATTAGCTGATTAGAGTGGGACACTTTGAGCCTAAAATATTGAACTTTTTCACAATATTCCAATTTTCTGAGATTGTGGATTTGGGGTTTTCATGAACTGTAAGCCATAATTATCTCAATTATGACACATCACAGCTTAAACTATCTTGCTTTGCATGTAATGAATCGATCTCATATATTAGTTTCACCTTTTAAGTTGCATTACTGAAATAAATGAACTTTTACATGTTATTCTAATTTTTTGAGTTTCACCTGTGTGACAATGGTCAAGGATCTATTTGTTATTCAAACAAGCTGACCCTATGTCTCACTACAGAAGGAGGGAGAAAGATAAGAAAGCTCAGCACTCCTCGAATTTACTGCCTCCACTGAATGTGTAAAACTTATAATCAATTACTCCACTAACAGGCACCCACAATAAACATTCAATTCTTAAAGGTGACATCAGAAGATACAATTAGAGTCATATAACTAATATTATAGTTGTATAAGCAAGAACTTGATTACATAATCAATTCAAACAGAGTTCTTATTCTAACTGTGCACAGAGGTAATAAGTAACAAAATCCTTTAGTGTTGATTAACATCAACCAGTGAATACATAAAATAAATTACTCCTCCTCCTTAAATTTTAGATAATGGATTATTAATATTATTCTATTTATGTGAGTTGTTAAAATAAAACAAAGTATACTTGTGCATAGGAGAAGGTGCTGGTGGTGGAAATTCAGTCAGTTACATTCTTTCAATGAACAATACATAAATGCATACACACCCACACCCACACATCATAATAAAATATCCACACATTCATCTGTTGTTGCACAGAGAAATGTATTTACTATTCCATTCATTTAAATGAAAGTAAGTTCGATTTAAAAATTATTTCAAAAGAGAAGAAATTTCCACTTTTGTGGTAGAATACACGCACACACATACACACACATTGTTTTATTATGAAGTGATATCATTACAAATAATATCTTCAGAAATTTGCAACCTTTGTAGCTTGCCATGCTTCAGTTATATTCCAAGGAAGAAAAATCACGAGGCAATGCCTCCTACTGGCCATTTTCAGATAATAAAGGATGCCAGCAATAGCAACTGTAACTGGGGTAGTAAAGAGCGTGGAGTGGAGCTCTTAGGAGTAAATCTTGATCTTGAGGCATTGTGGAAGATTTTTTCTCCCTGGAGGAATCACATTATTCTATCGACCTCTTACTGGTCTCCCTTTTTCACACATGCTAAAAATTACTAATATCATTAAAATGTGGTACCCAGGAATGAGCTTCTTATACTGTATGTCCTACATCCAGACTATCAAATTTCTCCTCTATTAGACACATTTAATCTGAGTATTATGTTTCCTTTTATATAGTGTAATAGTATATTTAGGACCAGAAAGATTCATGTTCTAATCAGCTGAACATTCCTTCTTTATCAGTTAAGATAATAGCTCCTCACCAGTTCATATATTGCCCATGAGCAAGAGATTTAGAAAATCTCAGCTGTAGAGCTTTGCAGAGATAAATTTTAAAGGGGGAGGAGGAGTTCTGTCACTGTATCATATCCTCAGGTAATAAATCTAGGAAAAGTAACTTTCTGTACAGGCTAGATGGACAAGAAATTAACATATAGCTTAAATTTCTGTGTTAACTTTTTAAGGAAAGGATGCTTGTGAATGTTTATCTTAAAATCAACAATTATGTACCTGCGGGGGTCCTTGGTGGTCTCTACCCTTGGTAGTTTTCTTGCAGATATTTCATTACCAACCCAGGTAACATCATCAATTATGGATTTAACAGTTTTCACATGAAATGAGCCTTATCTGATCATGGCTAAATCTGAATCTGACTTAATACATTTATATCAGGGGGATGTAAGATCTAATTCTTTTATTAAATGTAGGAATATTAATATAAAAGGTCCCTATTCACTTACCAAAAGCAGCTTTTTATGTTAAATATACCTTAGGGCTTTATTGAAAAGCTGCATTCCATACCATTTTGTGTAAGGGTTAGCATTTTTCACAGAGCAAATAAACCATAAGAAATAAAGGAAAAGGATGCTGGCAAATTGCACTTTTCAGGTACTCCATATGGTGTAACTTATATTTGGTTCAAGTTACCTATACCTATCATCTAAACGAGGTCCCTTCCAACAATGTGTTTCAATGGAAAAGAAAATGTAATAGCAAAGTTTGCTGACCTGAATTTGCTGAATGTAGCCAAGAATGTGCTAGTTTAAGGTTTCTTTAAAACTGATAACATCTTAAAGCCTAAGTCTTGATTGCATGCTATTATCATAGCAGGCAACAATAGTAAGATTATGAATCCAAAAATTATCCAACCTCAGTTTCCCAAAGAATTCCTGTTAACATGGATGATGGAAATCATATTAAAAGAGAGTGCTTTCATAATTAGTTTCTAAAATAAACACACTAAATATGCAATTAACTTGGTCATAGTTTACTCTAGAGCCTTATCATAATAAACTATATGACAGCCACTCAGATCTTTGTTTCCACAAATATCTGGCTGAATTATATCTCCACTTGATTCTTACTGACTTTGCAATTCCCCAAGGCCATCTAGCAAGATTTTTACAGAGAAGATAAAAGGCTGCCTCAAATCTGTGGAGGAATCACACACTTTTTGGACAGACCTCACTTTCCTTCTGTCATGCACACACAAATCTCTTGGTGTCCACAGATGATCTCATAGGTCAAATTAACTTCTAAAAGAAAGAAATGGAAACTTTTTTTCCCAACTTTTTAATTGATTATCCCCTTACAGTTTTTTAAAGTCTCAGGAACTGTTATAATGTGAACCATTTGTAGACTTTGAAATGGAATTGAACTACTATTTGATTTAAGGATCTTCAGTTCAGTGATGTATTCAATTGTTTTACTACCAGTTATTTATTGATTGATTGATTTGATTTGTCAATCACTTACAAGTAAATAGGTATAAGTATAAATATGGTTATGAATACATAAAATGGATACATATAAGAAAAATAAAAAGAAACAATAGGACAGGGATGGTAGGCACATTGCTGCACTTATGCATGCCCGTTACAGACCTCTTAGGAAAGGGGTGAGTCAATAGTAGAAAATCTAAGGTTAAAGTTTTTGGGGTTTGGGGAAAAAAACCAGAGTCAGGTAGAGTATTCCAGACATTGACTACTCTGTTGCTGAAGTTGTATTTCCTGCAATCAAGTTTGGTGTGGTTAACCTTGAGTTTGTATCTGTTGTGTGCTCTTGTATTGTTATGGTTGAAGCTGAAGTATTCATTGACAGGTAGGACATTGCAATATATAATTTTATATACTATACTTACATCGAACCAAAGGCGGTGTAGTTCTAGGTTTTCTAGGTCTAAAATTTCAAGTCTGGTGGCATAAGGTATTCTGCAATGAGTAGAGGAGTGGAGAACTCTTCTTGTGAAATATTTGTGAAATATTTCTGGACTTTCTCAACTGTGTTAATATCAGAAACGTAATGAGGGTTCAAGACTGATGAGCTGTATTCAAGTATTGGTCTAGCAAATGTTTTGTATGCTCTCGTTAGTAGTGTAATATTACCAGAGAAAAATATTAGATTAACAACTCTTAATGCCTTTTTGGCTATGTAATTACAGTGGGCTCCAGAACTTAGATCATTAGAGATGAGTACTCCAAGGTCCTTGACAGAGTTTGGATCTTCAACAAGGTCTTGACTATTCAGCTTGTATTTTATTTTCTGATTAATTTTGTTTTGCCAATATGTAAGGCAGAGCATTTATTTGTTGAGATTTGAAGTTGCCATTTGTTTGACCATTCTGATACATAGTCAAGATCTTTTTGAAGGGTAGCAGTATTTTCTGTGGTGTTGAATAGCTTTACATCATCAGTGAAGAGAACGCAGTTGCTCTTAATATGATCACGGAGGTCATTTATGTAGTTATGTGGGCGTGGCTTCCTGGGTATGGTGTGGCTTGGTGGGCAGGGCTTGGTGGGTCTGGCAGGGGAAGGATACTGTAAAATCTCCATTTCCACCCCACTCCTGGGGAAGGATATACTGCAAAATCTCCATTTCCACCTCATTCCAGGAGCAGGATACTGTAAAATCCCCATTCCCTCCCCACCCCACTAACCTGCTTTTTAGCTCTGTTCTCCTGTGCAGGGCAACAAAAGACACAGCTGATCAGCTGGGACTATGATCAGCTGGGTCTTGGGAGACAGCAAATAGATGGGGCCAGGGCCATCCAGAAGTGGGATTTATGGTTCTCCGAACTACTCAAATTTTTTGCTACCGGTTCTCCAGAACCTGTCAGAACTGGCTGAATACCACCTCTGCTTCAGTTACGAGTCTTTTGCATCCAGTCAAAAGGTTCACCCTATTGGGATCCAAGAATAATGTTTTATCCTAAATAAATATTGCTCTTATCCTTTTTAAATTGTTTATTATTGAAAGAAACAGAAGTTATAGATAATTACTATAACAGAATGCAATTTAAAGCATATAAAAGCAGTTTTCATATAATTCCTGTCCTTTACAAGGCTTATTTTTATCAATCTCCAGGAGGAAAGAATATATGTAGCTTGGGGTTTAACCCTGGAGTCCTTGGTGCTCTCTGAGCTTAGTTCTTTGCTTGCAGATTTTTCATTACCCTACTAGATAACATCATTAGTGACAAAAGTGTGTGGTTTGCACCCTTTTATACCCACCAGCCTTGCTAGTGGGTGGGTGTGGATTTCTTCTTGGTATTCCTTGATTAAAATATTGCTTTGTGTTTTATTGTTTGTCTGGTTTTGATCCTTGCTTATTTAGATGTTGGTTGTTGGAGAAAACTTGTTCTGGTCTTTTTGTTTCCTTCCTAACTTTTTATTGTCTCTTTTGAATGGTGTGTAAATGTGATTTATCTCTATGTGCCTATTGATGGCTGACTTGTCTGAATGCCAAGCTTCCAGGGTCACAATAGCCAAAATAAAACTATATTTTTGTCTGCCTATGTGTTGTGAGATTAAGGAGTTTTCATTGTGTTTTCTGATTGCTAGTTGATTTTCATGGATATGTTTTACTAATCTGTCTACTTTTCATAATGACTATTACAATACTTACACTGTATATTGTATATGACTCCTGGTTTTTTCCCTTGGGCCACTGGGTCTTCTGGTTTTCTTAGATGATTTGGAAGGTTTTTTTGGTTTGTGTGCTACAGTGAGACATGTAGCTATAATAATCTGTTTCTGAGATGGTTTTGATGTATGATAATGTTATCCATTTCATAGTTTATTTTAGTTGTGATGTAGTGGATTGATTTGATAAAATTTGTGTGGGTTTGTCCAAAAATATTGAAAGAAATAGCAATTCTATTTTCATATACAAATACATAGAAATGTTGGTGTGGAGGAGCCCTGATCTGAACGAGGAGCAAGGCAAAGAATTAACCATCCTACTTTTGATTCATTGTCAAGAAAGAACCTAACCCATTCTTGGTAATATATCATTAATTGGGCCTTTAACTATTATGATTGCTCACACAGTCAGCCAGATGTTCAGACTGGATTTGCCATTTTTATTTGAGTCCTTTCCAAGGACTTGGGATAGGCAGATCTTCCTATTTGATGTTTATTAAAGGTATTGTCATAGGATGTAAGCTGCTCTGAGTAAAGCTGCCTTTTGCAATTGACTGATGGTGATTTTGTCAGTGCTGGTGGTGTTCAAATGATGCTCCAAATATTTTGGCATTACACTCAAGGCACTTAATTGATAATATAATTCACAAATGCATTAAATCTCTTCCCCCTGGCACCAACTTTTCTTTGTACTTTCAGCTGGCAACTTATAAATGGTGTGGGTTTTTTTTTACCAGAAGATCAGTGAAGAGGAATTATATTTGGTCTCTGCATCCTGAATGAAAAGGTGTTGTGAGTTGTTTACCTCTGCTTATCCCATGACAGATAAATGTCTTTGACATAGTTGTGGATATGGTCTATTTTGGGGAAAGGTTGTGCTGCAGTTCAGCCTAGTAACATTACATCACAACACAGTAATGTGTGTGTTTGTGGGTTCCTAATTGGATTCAAGACATCATTTATGACAAGATGGAGTTTGGGTAAAACAGATAACATTCATAAAGTAAAGCTCTTTTACAGGGTATACTGATTTCCATACTATGAGCAATTAGTCCATAACCTCAGACTAAAGAACTGCTTCTATTGCATCTTAATGGCAAAAATTGATTTGCCCCACCCCCTGCCTCCCACCTGTTTTGACTTGTTGTACCACCCTTTCCATCCATTAGCCAGAGAGACCTATCTTACCTGTACATCAGATCGACTCATTCAGCACCATCATCTGTCTTGCACTGAATCAAAGCACTATCTTTATTCAACACCTTGGTCTTCTAAAAGAAAGGAAACCAAAACTTAAGGAAACCTGCTTTTTAAAAAAAAAACTTTCTTGCTACATGTATTATACTCTCTATTCTGATGTGTTGCACAAAATATACACATCAGTTGCTAACACAACTGTTAGTTAAACTGCTTAGATCTTATGAAGATAAAACTTATCTGTATTTTTCTCCCTAAAGCAAAATAGTTCCACCACCACCACCCATGTTGATTATTCCATGAATCTATTATTTGGTTTGTCAAATGTGCTTTTCCACTTCTTTTTTTGCTAAAGTCTTAATATTCCTCTGGGAAGTGGACTGTGAGTAGTGACCAGAGGTGGTATTCAGCAGGTTCTGACCAATTCTGGAGAACCGGTAGCGGAAATTTTGAGTAGCTCAGAGAACCAGCAAATACCACCTCTGACTGGATATTTTATAGTATCCTTCCCCTGCCATGCCCACCAAGCCATGCCCACAGAACCAGTAGTAAAAAAAAATTGAATCCCACTACTGGTAGTGACTTACTGTGTATAACTGTTTGCTTTTGTTTTCTGTTTTAATTTCACTAAATAATTCTTATGGAATAAATCTGCTTGATCTCTTTTGAAAATTGCCTGGAAATCTGCTGGATTTGTTGGCAGTGGAGATTGCTTAAAACTGCAAAAACAGTTGGTTTAAATCTGTTTAGTTGGGAAAGTATCACTATCAACTGGGAGTGAAACTTGATATCGCTATAAGCTGAGATGACATACTATCAACTGATTTAATCTCTTAAATGGGAGACACAGAGATGGATCATGCTGTGGTGGAAAGGGTATCTCAGCTTGGCAGGATGGGATTTCCAGGCTCAATAAATCAGAATTCCAAGGGTTGTGTGATCTTTTCTGGGTTTTTTTTTTCTATTGGTGGGTTGGGTATAGCCCAGGACAAAGCTTTGTTTCTTTCCTCTCTAGCTACCTAACTTTAACAAAATAAGTATGAGGAGTTATCCATTCTCTGAAAAATATGCATCAGGGAATTCACAAAAATAATATAGTTTCTTTGCTCCCATTTCCAAACTCCAGGTGACAAATATTCACGAATCTAAATGGGTGTCCTAAGTTTTATTTTTTAAAAAAGTTCAAAACTGATAAATAATGTAAACCATTTTGGAGGGAGAATCTTGTACATGATTATAGAACATGGCTGTATAAAAAAGGTGACCCACAACCACTGGTGGGATTCAACCAGCTCACACCACTCCAGCTGAACCAGTTGTTAAATTGCTGGATGGCCCCTCCCCTCCCCACCCTACCAAGCCACTACTTATTGGCATCGCACACCTTGGCTGGTGCCTTAGAGCAGAAATCCTCAAACTATGCCCCACTGAAGCAATGAGGCTGCCCCACACACATTGCCCTGCCCAGCCACCTCCCCTCATCTTTCAACTGAGTGCGGGCCTTACTTTCGTGGGCAGCTGTGGTAAGCTGAGCATTGTGAGCCCCATGGGCTGGAACTGGAAGGTAAGGCCAACAGTGGAGGAGGAAAATACACTCTGGACCTCCCGGGCTAGGCTGAAGGGCTGCCTCAGGAGGATGAGGCTGTGGATGGAGAGCCTCAGCTGTCTTTTGGGCCTGCCTCTCAACTTTTGTGGGGCCTCCAGGAACCTGCCAAATGCTTTCCCTCCCCTCCGTCTTGGGCCCTGCATCCAGCCCACAACTGAGGAATGCACCACCCAATGCAGCACTCATCCCTGAGGGTTGCCTGCTCACCCATCTTCCAGGTGGACTGGCCCAGTAATGGTGCATCATCTTGCACCTATCCTTGGCCTCCTTCAGCCTGGCCTCTGGCTTCTTGATGTGATCAGAAGCTGCTGATTGGAGCGAAGAGAACTGCAGTGCTGGGCTCCCATGCCTGCAAATGCCAAGGCATCGCTAGAATTGAAAGAAAAGTTTGTGGGGCTGTGGAAAAAAGAATCAGAGCAACACCCAGCAGCTTGGATGAGAAGGTGCTGGCTGCTCTTGCTGATAACTGAGCCCACTGTGCCAATTGGAGTATGGAAATTGGCATGGTGGATTCAGTTACTGGCAAGAGCAGCTGCTGCCTTGCTTGCGCCTTCTCATCCAAGCTGCCAGGTATTACTCTGGTTCTTTCTGTCACAACTGCACAGCCTTTTCTTCCAGTTCTAGCTATGCATTGGAACTTGTAGCTGCAGTTCCCCTCATGCCAACCAGTAGCCTCTGCTCACATTAAGAAGCCGGTGGCAGGACAGGAGGATGTCAAGGAAGGGCACAAGGTGACACGCTGCTTCCAGGCCAGTTTAGGCAGGGACTGGAGAGCCACATGGGGGTGGCTCACCCAAAAGAACTACAGCAGAACCTTGTAGCTTTTATCTCGCAGCTAGCCTCTGGGTAAGACCAGTCCTCTTCCTCCTCTCCCCATTCCCTTCCTGCAGTATCCTATTTTTCCAAACACCCGGGGCCAGGCTGGACAGCAATTCCCAGGGAGGCACCCCAACTGAGGCTCAGGTTGTATCCCATGGCTTGTATAAATTGCTCTCACCCCTTTTGAAATGGCCACCTGATGCTTCCCTTGCGCGCTTACCAGGGCCAGAGAGTAATTTGATTGCTCATTCTGCTGTGACCCTGAATGCCTTGGCTGCAGCTCACAGGCACTCTGTCTGCTGGGGGAACCAAAGTAGTGAAATGCCATCTTCTGCTGGCTCTGCATCCCCAGGCAGAGCTCCAGGCAGAAGTGCTTGCTTTGGCCCTAGCCTGGAGTAGCAAAGAAGCAATGATGATGGCATGAAGGGAAACTGCATGACCAGAAGCCTAGCTGCCACACTCTGCAAGAAAATCTTTGGCGCCACTGACCCAATAAGCCTGTCCATCCTGGAGCAAACCCTGTGGAAGGATAGTTGGCCTGGGGTGGGGGGGGTGAATAAGTGAGGTACCTGTGAGGGTGCTGCAAAAGAACACTCTTGGGATATGGCTGCTTCCCTGAAAAAAGTGGCATAGCTGATGACAATTGGAGGGGGCAAGTACCAAAGGAGCAGCTTGCATTATGGCTGCTTCAATGAATATGAGAAGCCCAGCCAATGTTTTGAGCATGGTAACATCTCCAGCCCAATGAATTCTCCTTTATCGCTCACCATACCTGCCAATTTACCAACTCCAGTTACTGCACCAGTGAACATTGCACATCCATTCACAATCATCTCACCAATGAATCTCCAAACACCAATGACATTAGCTGGTCCTTTAAATATAACCAGGAGACCTGTGTAAAGCATGCCAACCTCTCCCACCTAGTAAAAAAAAAACCTAGAGCAAAAATTTCATACAGTATTAATAAGAAGAATAAAAGGGGGCTGTTGTATATTGTTTAATGGACTGCTAAATTTGCAAAATGAACTGCTAAATTGACCACACCCACCCAGTCACATGAACACCTGGCCACATCCATCTAGCCATGCCCATAGAATATGTTGTTAAATTATTTGAATCCCACCATTGCCCACATCTCTCTTTATATATCTATTCAGAGAAGTTGTGGTTGCATCCCTTCATCCCAGAGCAATAGAATACCATTTGGGCAATTTCACTGCAGTTGAGTCTAACCATCTGGTGTAAAGAGCAAAACTTTCTGAATTAAAAATAGCACTCATTACTTCTTCTTACATATCTATATACTTATAGATGACTATTTATCAATTTAGTCATGTTCCTTTCAGTTCACAGAAGGTGTTTATTCAGTTGACACACTGGATACTATAAAGAGGAGGAAAACTACCGTGTTTCTCATAAAATAAGGCAGGATCTTATTTTTTTTTTTTTGAGCCTCGAAAAAATGGCTAGGACATCTTTTGGGGGGTGACTTAATTTCCTCCCCCACATGCACCCCAACCTAGAGCGCCCCATACGCACTCACCTCTCCACAAGGCTGCTTCTTTCGGCCGATGGAAGCTCCCTGAAGGCAGAGTCACCAGCCGCTTCTATCGGCTGGTAGAAGCAGCATCATGGAGAGGTGAGTGCGCATGGGTCACTCTAGGTGGGGGTGTGCATGGGGGAGGAAATCTATCAGCTGGTAGAAGCGCCCTTGCAGCAAGTGCCCACATGCACTCCCCTCACCATGAAGCCATTTCTATTGGCTGATGGAAACTCCCTGAAGGCAGAGTCACCAGCCGCTTCAGGGCATGGCATTGCTGCCCGCGGAGTGCTCCTGATAGGAGCACCCCATGTGCACTCCCCTCACCATGAAGCTGTTTCTATTGGCAGATAGCAGCTCCCCAAAGGCAGAGTCACCAGCTGCTTCTATCGGCTGGTAGAAGTGGCCTCAGGGTGAGCGCCCCATGCACACTCCCTTTGCCACGAAGCCACTTCTACCGGCTGATAGATGCGGTTAGTGACTCTGCCTTTGGGGAGCTTCCATCAGCTGATAGAAACAGCTGGTGACTCTGCCTTTGGGGAGCTTCCATCAGCTGATAGAAACAGCTTCATGGCAAGGGCACTGTGCATGGGCCCTCGCCCCGAGGCCAGTTCTACCAGCCAATAGATGCAACTGGTGACTTTGCCTTTGGGGAGCTTCCATCGGCTGATAGAAATGGCTTAGTGGCAAGGGGAGTGTGCGTGGGGTGCTCCTGTCAGGAGCTCTCCATGAGTAGTCATGGCTTGCCTTGAAGCGGTTGGTGACTCTGCCTTCGGGGAGCTTCTATCGGCCAATATTCTATCGGTAGTAGATTGGTAGTATTCTTGCCTAGGCTACCAGCAGGGCACTCCTAAAGGCAAGTTTTCTCCCTCCCCTTCCCCACCCCATTTCTCTTCACCTCATGTAGTTTTAACGAACGATGTGAGAAATGGTGGGGAAACACATGGATTAAATAGGCCTAAATTTTGGGGGTGGGGCTTAATTTTGTCTCATGCCTAGAAATCATGCTGGGCCTTGGTGGTGGAGGCCGTATTGTTGGAGAAACACAGTAATATTGATAACTACTGGATTTTTTCCTTTCCACCTTGTGCTTTTTCCAAAGGTTGAAGATGTAAAGATTGAAGAAATTGGTAAGCAATGAAAAAAATCACCTTCCCTTTTGTACCTAGAGGAGCTTCCACTAGATCAAAGCACCATCTGCCAGTGACAAAACAGAGTTGGTTACAGCTCAGATATGTGATGCTTTTTTTTTTATATCCAAAAATATAGGAAGAAAGACGCATTAAATAAACAAAGAACACCATTTATTGATCAGGATAAATGAAATTAAATTGTTTGCCATTTCCTGTGTCAGGGCAGATATCCTCACAAATTCACATTTGCGCAGATCTGACAGCCCCAAAACAACAGCATTGTTTCAGTTGACAGGGAGAGAAATAAATAAATGGTGTGAGATGCATCAGAGCATTGGAAATGTATGAGACAGCCTTACTAGAGCAAACAATGGCTATCAGCCGTTCCCTGCCCTCTGGAGAGAATGCAGTATACAAAAAATAGCTTTTCTAGTCAGATTAAAAAAAACATTTGCTGGAAATGAAAGTGCTCACATCTGTTCAGTCCCACAGCAAGTTTCTCTATGGCACTCCAATGCTTTGTGGGATATAGACCAA